AGCAGGAGTAAGAGCAAGAGAAAACCAGGAGAAACAGCAAGAGCAGGAGTAAGAGCAAAGCAACAGCAACATCAAGATCAAGAGCAGCCAAAGCAGGAGCAACAGCAAGAGCAGGAGCAGGCGCAAGAGACGCAGCAAAGGCAGGAGCAAAAGCAAGCGCGGGAGCAACAGCCAGAGCGGGTGCAGGACCCCTCAAAAGTGGAAGTGGAGATAAAAACACCCCCACAAACACTTTCCAAGTTTCTATTGGGGGGGCCGTTATTACAAATATTCGGTGGAAGGGATTAGTATAGAACAAGGCTATCCAATCTTTCAGTTCAGGTAAAGGCTCGGAGCTGTGGAAAAGGATCAGCTAGGTCAGTTGTAAATTGAATCGAAGTTTGCGCTTTGTCCAGCACACGTGACAACTGGACCTGTTGCCTTTTCACTTCAGAGACCGACACCCCGACCCCGACAAAAACCTAACCGTAACAGCGGTCTCGGAAGATGCGATACTACAGGGGCCTGAATCTTTAGAGAAGGGTTTCGGGTCATAGGGCATCATATGATTATAGCAGGGAGCACTCACGTACAATATCAACTTATTCAAGCTCGTCTCAAGCCCCATCATGCCCCATCCTAAAGTCCGAAGTCCCCCACCCAAAACCCTGAGCCCACGTCGGCGTAAACCCTAAAGCCCCGCGGTGCTTCGTTACCAGGTCATGGGGAGCATGGATTCTGGGGATTCCTACCTGGGGATTGTATATAGGAGCTACTAAAAGGATCCACTCCCCCATTCCCTACTAAGCACCAGGGGGTAAACCCTAAACCCTAAACCCTACACCCTAAAACCCTAAACCCTAAACGCTAAACCCTAAACCCTAAACCCTACACCCTAAAACCCTAAACCCTAAACCCTACACCCTAAAACCCTAAACCCGTGCCTTGATGCGGAGACGGAGCGCTTTTGGCGCTTCTGTCGTGTGGACCGTGGCAGACTGCACCACCTCCCAGTCCATTCCCAGAGAGCCCAATACCCCTTAATTAAGGAATATACCTTAAATCATAATAATAAGCCCCTTACCCAAGGCTTCCAAGGACCTTATAGTTAGGGCCCTAGACCCCTTAAGGACCCAATAATAAGGTCCCTGGAAGCCTAGGGTTATAGTTTAAGGTATATTGCTTAATTAAGGCGTATCGGGCTCTCTGGGTTGTCGGCTCGAAGCTTCTTGTTGTGTCCGCCCCAAAGCGTTTAGGAAGCAGTGTGAGGGTTTATAGGTTTTTTGTCTTAAAGTGCAGTGGCCCTTTCTCCCGCATGACAGGTCTCTGAGTTATAGGGTTTAGGGTTTAGGGTTTAGTGATTCTGGGCCTCTTAAGAAATACTGTACAGCCCTCCTCTTTCTTGAGGCCTCCATGTTGCTATCAATTCCGAAAGAAAAGATGTTGGGTTCCCCTCGCAGATCTTTGCCAATGTTGCAGGCGCGGGCTCACAAGGTCCAGCTTCAACTTTACGCGTCTCTGCGGTTGAATATGGCGAACGTCGACTCTAGGGTTTAGGGTTTAGGGTTTAGGGCGTGGTAGAGCCCAGCTGAATTGAACACATCATAGTTCCAAGGCTCCGACGACTAGGACTCTATCGTTCCCAGCGTCCTAGACTGCCCAAAGTCTCGAGGATACCGGGAGTCTTTAACTTATAAGGGTTTAGGGGTTAGGGCGATGAGTCTTCGGCAGTTTAGGGATTAGCTGCCGGCTGAATGCGCAAGCAAACTGCCCTTGCTGCTGGGCGATGAGGCGATGAACGGCTTGGAAGATTCTTTCTCGAGTCTTCCCGAACCTTCAAGCCCTACCCGACTTCTTTCCGCGAAATTCCGATACACTTGGAGGTTCCTTGGCTATAAGTAGGGTTATAAGTCCCCTAATATGGCATATAAGCATAGTTAGCCTACTTATAACCCTACTTATAACTATACCCATGAACGAACCTCCAACCATGAAAGCCATAGGTAAGCCAACACAAGATGCCCAGATCCAGGGCATGGGTAGATCCCTTCCAGCCCTGAACTTCCAAGCCCGAGCACCTAAAATCCACGGTTTAGGGTTTAGGGTTTAGGATTTAGGGTTCCGCGGTTTGGGGTTTAGTGTAAGCCATGAACCTAAAGAAAACCTAAACGGATACTTTAATAGGATACCCCCCAAACCCGATTCCAAATGTTAAGCTTCATGCCCCTACATTATAGAACACTTGGAGGAAGCTTTCGAACCGATGCAAAACGAGATCCCAACTTTAGGGTTTAGGGTTGATTGAGTTTAGGGGAATTCCCCTCAGAGACCCTAGACTAAACCGTGTCCAAACGAGAATCCAACCCACGGCCACCTTCCCCTTCACGTATCCTTTGGCCGTCAGGTTGCCAGCAAGGAATGGTACCTGAGAATGTAGGGTTTAGGGTTTAGTACTAAGGCACAAATTACTTAGGACCTAAGCTTAGGTTTTACGATGTTGTTTTGTAAGGTCCTGGTTTTATGGCTCTGGGCTTTATAAGGTTTCGTTGCTCAACACCAGCTCCAGTAGGCACCCCCTTCATGCACCGGACAAGAGTCAGAAAGTCTCAAACGCAAGCAGGGTAGTTCCACAAGCTTGCATCGGTTGCTTCTAAGAAGCCTCGTTATCTACATGATGGGCTACTGCAGTGTGTGGCTTAACTTCTTGGGGCACAGTACTGAGAATAGGCCGCCAAACAAGTTCCCGGCCCCGCGCTAAGGGCCTGTCGTTGGGGTCTAGTGTTTCCGGGCTCCTGGAAATGATAGATTCTACTTCTTGGGGCCTGTGTAAGCATCCCATCTAGTTCCTACACCCACTTTAACCTTGAAGGACTCGACTTAACACCCTCGCAATTCAGAATCCGCTGTAAATCAAAAATCGCACACCCACTTCCACCTAAGCCCTGAACTTGCAATCCACAAGCCAGAGATCCCCACGACCCCCTCACTTTCTACACCCCCAGCCCTCGTCAAACCGCAGTCTGAACCCTCAAGAAGGAGGAAGATGCCAAGATAGTGACAGTTCGACTCCAAACCCCAGAACACAAACACACACACACACAAACACACAGCACACACGCACGCACACGCACTCATCAATCGAGGCCCTGAAAGGACGAACACACCCCTCCACTCCCCAGAGCCTCCCATTCCACGTGAGAGCAAGGCGTCGACTTCTGCCGACCCATGGACGTGCCGTTTGGATGTATCAGCTCGACCTTCCACGGCTTTCGGGCTTTTCTTTCCCTCCTACGTAGCAAGGACCCGCATTGCAGGGCTTGTTCGGAACTGCGGCTTGTGCACAGCAGGACACTCAGCCACCGCCTGTGTGTAGGATTAGGGTTCAGCAGCTTCTTGAAACGAAGAGCTTGTAGGAAACTATGGGCTTGGTGATGCCATGGGGTTGACCTCACCGTGACACAAGGCGTTGATAGTTTAGGATGCCAGACTCGCTTCACACTTTAGGGGAGAGGTTGAGTCGATAGCCTGGTGTTGGGGCATGGGGCCTGCTCATAAGTCGTAGGGTGCACTGCAGTTTAAGGCTTGCCGCTCGTCAGGCTTAGGTCTTAGGGATCATCCAGTGTCTGCTGTGTGGGGACGTGCAGCAACAGCTTCTCCGAGCGTACGGAGGGGCTCTACCTACCTTACCTACCTACACCCACACCTGCCTCTTACCTGCCTGAAGGGCTAGCCAGCTACCTACCTACCGACCAACCGACCTACCTACCTAATTGTACCGACCCACTGCATACATGCCAGCAATCTATCTGTCTATGTACCTGTCGAAATATACAGCGGGCAGTGAAGTTCTGTATATATAGGGACAGCAACCTGCGATGGAAGTAACTGGGCTTCTACAAATCCTGTTGATGCCCATCTTGACGATCTACCCCACAGTTTCCTACAACCTCCGACCATATTTTTTGTATGTATGTGTGCATGCATGTATGTAGGTGTGTAGATATGTATGCTTCTAAATGCATGTATGTGTAGCGTGTGTATGTATGTAAACCAAAACACGCACATGCATGCGCGCACAATCACACACACACATGTGTATGCGTATATACATATATATATATATATATATTTATATTTATAATATACATGTGTATATGTATATGTATATGTTTATGTATGTATATACATATCTGTATACCCACACACGCACACACATTCTTCCGTCCATCCGCCTGAAGCCATGCGCACCGATAAAAGCCTGTCGGCTTAGGTCTTCAGCAAGAGCCGCTCACTTCGTTAGTGCCGGAAAGCGCAGGTACCTAAAGAGGAGGTTCATGTCTCTGCAAAGCAACCCATTATGACAAAATGTAGGGGCCATACTAATTAGAACAGGGTTTTGGGGCACATTCTACTATAATTATAATAAAGGAACCCCAAAACAGTATTGGTAATTATTCAGACCCCTACATTTAGCAACAAGGTAAGCGTCTTTGGCCCAGTTGGCCTCCTCAACGTTGGAGTACACCCAGACCTGCGCACGCAGCGGGTGCTAGCCAGCGTTCTCCAAAAGCTTAGCGTTTAAGGCTTAGCTTACTTCCACATAAGCCAGGGAAATAAAAGCATAAACTTTCAGATTACCACTAGATTATAAGGTTGGGTATTGGGGAACTAAGTTAGGGTTAGGGTTAGGGTTTAGGGTTTAGGGGGCTTTACCTTCACCAAGCCGAGCCTTTGGGGGGACCCTCTTTGAGTTATGTATTAGGGTTTATATGAGGACGCAACAAGAAAGTAGGCTAATCACGGTAGCTTACCGTCTTGTAAGAACTGCCTCAACAAGTTGCGCTCGGCCCAGGATCAAGGATAAATACACACTCTTCACACCCTTCAACCTCACGAGCTTACGACTATAGCCGCCGATATGCCCCCCAGAACCCCTAAACCTGAAACCCATAATCTAACCTTTCATCCGTAAACACTACAGGACCCCGAACCTCACACCACCCACCCCCAACCCCCCGAACCGTCACGAGCATTGCGCCGCTGGAGCCGACTTTCCGACAGGTGCCGCTGCCTTGGCCAGGCTTGGGTTTTGCTAAAACAGGAGCCTTGGTGCTTGGACAAGGGGTTCGGGATAATGGAAACTACAGGTATCTATGGACTGCTCGGAATTCGAACGACTAACCAAATTCTCCAGACCTCTGTCCGCATCAGGGCTGTCTAGTTTCCGGCTCAGTTGAAGTCGGAGTTAAGTTTTGGAATTTGTGGGTCATAGGGTTTAGGGCTTGGGGTTTGGAGCCCTAAACCCTAAACTTGTTGTTGCCTACAGCTTGCAGGCTTCAGGGCCTCTGAGCCGCAGCAACGAACCAGGTGCTGAACGGCTTCAGGGCAATAAAGGGTGTTATTTGCAGACCCCGGGCTTACAGGGCGGAGGAGTTGAAGGCCAAACCTTCGAGAATTGCGAGGTACAGATGGTTGAATTTGCGACACTAGCAGGTTGTAAAGCGAGTTCAAGGTAGAGTGCTGCAAAAACGTAGTTAAACCCAGGCCGAGCTCTGCGCAGCCGGGTGGAGTCTGCAATCCAAAAGCCCAACCAACTTCCCGAAAGTCATTACGATTCGCCGGTTGCATGCTTTCAAGCACGCCGATCCTGCAATCCTACACTGAGTTGTAGTTTCGGGGCCCAGAAAAGTATTTATGAACAGGTGCCTCTATAAGAACCAGAATGCGGATTTTTCACAGTCTCCCACAGTGCCACCCAGTACAAGAAGCCTGTTTTCGATCTGTGGAGCAAATCCTACTTGGAGGGTCGGGGGACCGAGTAAGTCGGTAAAAAGTAGAGCTAAAAATACCAGAAAGGGAACGTGATTGGGGTTATGATGCCTATTGCTCTAAAAAAAGTGATGAGTATCATAACTCATAACCATTACCGGAATTAGGATCCCTCCTAGGGTAGACTCTATGAAACAACTACTACGAAGTCCCCTGACCCTCCAAGTAGCCCGAAACCCTAAACCCTAAGTTACTAAGCTTGGAGGGGTTGGGAAACTCCAAGGTACAGCTGTCCTCCTCCCAGTTCCAATGAGGGAGCAGATGGACAATGTACCTTACACAGTTAAGGGATTTACGGTTGATGATATAAATCCTGCATTACCCATAATAAGGACTATACCAAGGTTCTCACAGGTTAGGGTCCTGGAGGTAATGCAGGATTCAGATCATCAACAGTATGGTTTAGGGCTTTAGGGCTGTAGGGATTAAGAGTTTAGGGTTCAGGGGTTTAGGGGTTGAGGGTTGTTGGTTTTGCCTCCCGCCCGGCTAGAACAAGGGTTTAGGCTTTAGGGGTTTAGGGTTTCAGAGGTTTAGGGTTCTAGGTCGTTGGAAGGCTTCTGAGTTTCCTAGTTTCTAAGTTCCCAGGCCCAATAAGAAGCGATAACCTTTCAATTGTGGAAGGGATATATTAACGGCTATATCAACCCCAACAGTGTTAGTATAATCTGCTCAGCTACTGACGTGATATAGAGATACTGAGGCTTTATGGTCTACAGGGCTCCGGTTACAAGGATTGGATTTAGTATAGACGGGTTCTCGTAGTTTTCGTACGGTTCAAGGTAGGGGTTTAGACTTTAGGGCGCAGGCTTCAGGAGTGCAGAGTCGCGAACCTTGAGGATACCAAACCAGCCACAGAAATACCCAGGGTTTAAATTGGCTCTACTCTCGTGCCGTATGGGTCAGGGTTGGCCCAGGGTTGACTGAAGTTTGACCCACGTGGCTTTTCGCTGGGTGGCGTCCAGCAAGCCTGCCACAATCCCAACATGAGGATGACGGACCAGGTATGTATATATGTGCGTAAATATATGTACGTACGTATGTATGTATGTATGTCTGCATGTATGTATGTCTGTCTGTCTGTCTGTCTGTCTGTCTGTCTGTCTGTCTGTCTGTCTGTCTGTCTGTCTGTCTGTCTGTCTGTCTGTGTTTCTGTCTGTCTGTCTGTCTGTCTGTCTGTCTGTCTGTCTGTCT